TAAGTAACTGGTATATTTCTGATGAGCGGTCTTTGCCAGATCACAGATACATTTGCTTTCAAATTGGTAACATATCAACAAATCAAGCTACTTTCAGGAACCCCATAAGAATCAAATTGGAGTCATATAGAGACAGCACAAAAGTGAATCTGGGAACCTTATGGCATAGATTATGCAGGACAAAGGACATAGATCGGTCTGTTGACCAGTTGCACAGGCCATCATCTTGTCCTATTATCATAACTGCCCAGCCAAGACCACTCACTCACCAGGGAATAAAAAGCTGAGTGAGCTGAAAGCCAAAAGAAGAAAGCCATTTAATATAGCAAAAAGAACAGGGTTAGGGGACACCTATAAGGAAAGCCTCACCTGTTATAATGAAGAAATAAGGAAAGGCAAGCGATCCTCATGGAGGAGGTACTGCAAGGAGATCAATGATGTACCAGGCAGCGTCAGACTCATGAGGATCATAGTAAAACAGGCGACTAACAGAGTTAGCACTGTTAAGCTGCCTGATGGTCAGCATACTCAAACTGGGAAAGAGACACCAAAAGACCTGTTTGGGGTTCAATTTCCTGATTCAAAACCGATTGATGAGTCATATGATGATGGACAGGGTCAGCAGCAGAACGTGGGCATAAGCGGACGCATTACGAACAGGGCAGACTGGAACCTAGCCAAGCGCGTCATCAATCAATTCAAAATTAGATGGGCTTTAACCTTTAAGTGACGGCCCTTTAAATTCCGGTAATGGCAGCGGGACGGATTTGATTTAAATACCCGCAATTTTAAAGCAATAAAAACTGTAATCATTTCCTAAAATTGCTGTGATTTCTACAATTTTTGTGATAAATGAACCAAATAAACGCTGTTTTTTTCTAGAAAGAATGTAGAATCAGATATTGTAATTTACAGACTTTATAAAATGTGTAAACATTTTTAGACTGATTCCAAGTAAAAAATTCCCAAATTTGTCGGCTCTCTACAAGAATTCAGAGTTCTTGGAACGAAGAATGTTGTATGTAAATGTTGCAACACAGCAGCGGATGGTTTATGTAGTCATGTTTAGTCCTGCATGTCTCGAAAGATTATACACGTACGTCATTTCTTCCGTATGCAGAGATGTGGGGTGAGTATCTATTCGTATACAAGAACCTTGATTGTTTATTTTCGCTTGTCGCAAAACAACAAGCTCTCTGTTCTCACTCTGCTGGAAGTAGATTATAAGTACTTTCATGGTTAGCATCCTAATACTGCCAAGCAGTATCAAAAGCGTGAACCAACCATTGTGCTGTCTCGTTAGGAAGACGCTGACATATTTCAACTCATAAACGACTCCGAATCAGATTGTTGTACATTCAATTCTGAGAGTGGCGTTGAGGAAAGTGAATCAGAAATTGATTTCGACGAAGACCCATCATCTTGGTCGGCAACCTGGGGACCACCACACCAGCATGGGAAGAGGAGTGTGAATAATTATTCATGTGGAGCTGTGGGCAAACTGTGGCAAACAGTTATAGCATCTGTCGTCGAACCTGGAAATGGACAAATAAACTATTTTTCCATCTCCTGGATCTGAACAGTTACATCCTGTTGTCACACAGAGAATTTCGTCTCGCTCTTGTGCGGAACATGCTGGAAGGGGTCCACCTCGCCATCAACGGCCCAGGGGTCGAACCCCTGCCGTTTTATCGGAGATATCTCGATTATAGGAGGCCAAACCACATCACTGGCCGACTTCCTCTACTTCGCAATTGAGGTGTCGTATGTGCTTTTCGCGTGGGAAACGAAGAACCGTCTAGACAAAGTGCGTGAAGTGCGATGTCGGACTCTGGATTTCCGGATGTTTCCAAGATTTCCACACGAAGCCAACTTCTGTCAGATGACGCAGGTGGGAAGAGAGACAACTTATAAAGCTGGTGACCAAAAATAATGTAAGTAGGAAAAGAATTTATAACTTAAAATTAGATTTTAAAAAGCCGGCCGCACGCGTGGACTGCGCGACGACATATGGCGTCATTCGTCCCCTTGACTTTATTTTCATATATGGTGTCGCTCGGCTCTTAAAGGTTAAATATCTTTAAACCATTTAAGTCTGTGGGAACAGATGGAATTGTACCGGCACTTTTACAGCAAGGGGCGGAACATGTAGCCCCACACCTATGCCGCATATTTAGAGCCTGCATGGCACATGGGCTTATCCCTGCGGCCTGGAGGCTAGTTAAGGTGACAGTTATTCCTAAGCCTGGGAAACCTGATTATACTGAGGCTAAGGATTATCGTCCCATTAGCCTGTCGTCTTTCCTTTCGAAGACGATGGAGAAACTAGGGACGGTGCACTGAAGAAGTATTTTATACACCGAAACCAACACGCTTCCCAAATAGGTGTATCTACTGAAACTGCACTGCATAATGTGGTTTCATGTACAGAAAATGCCATCGACCACAAGGAGATTGCCCTTGGAGCATTCCTTTACATTGAGGGAGCTTTTGATAGAACCTTATTTGATACCATAAAACAGGCTGCTGAAAAGCATGGTACTGAGCCCGCTATATGCAGATGGATCTCTTCCATGTTGGAAATCAGGAATATAAATGCTACATTGTCATGAGAGTCAATGGGGGCGACTGCGGCCAGAGGGTGTCCAAAGGGAGGTGTGTTGTTGCGTCTGCTGTGGAGCCTCGTCATGGATGATCTTCAGGGCTCAACAGCAATGGCTAATAGACAGTAGGATATGCTGGTGACAGAGCAATCCTAATTAGTGTAAAATTCCTTCAAACTGTGTCAGAGGTCTGACAAACAGTCCTGTGCACAGTCCAACAGTGGTGTGAAAGAATGAAGTTGTCTATCTACCCATGTAAGATGGTAGTCATAACCTTCGACAGGAAGAGGATCATAAAGGGGCTTAAAGAACCGATACTCTTCAAAAAATAATCCAGTTATCCAGTGAAGTCAATTACCTTGGAATAACACTGCACAAGGGACTGAGACAGAAAAAGCACCTGGAGAAGTTTATCAACAAGGCCAATACGACCTTCTGGACATGCAGAGGTATATTTGAGACAATTTTGGGACTGAAACCAAAGGCTACACAGCAGTAGTAATGGAGTCCAACTGGGTCCAATCAGCACGGCGGCCAATGATTGGCCTATTGTACCTGCCCTGGGTGATTATGATTATGGAGAATTTGGTGGAATGAAGATTGACAGGGGAAACCGAAGCACTCGGAGAAAACCCGCCCAAGCGCCACTTTGTCCACCACAAATCCCAATTGACGAGACCCGGGATCGAACCCTGGCCGCCGCGGCCCATTTACACTGAGGTAGTAAGACCCATAGTTACTTATGCTGCCACTATATGGTGGCCCAGAGTTAAACTCAAAACAAGTTAGGCAGAAGTTAGGAAAATTCAAAGGATGGCCTGCCTGGGAATCACAGGAGTAATGACAACAGCTACAATAGCTGCAATTGAAGACATCCTTGGGCTCCCCCCACTGTAGTTGCAGGTTGATGTGGAGGCCAAGATAGGAAACTACAGACTACATTGCTATGAACAATGGAAACACAAATCTGAAGGTTCTGGACATGCATACATGACTCAGGACATGGAAAAAAAACCTATCCTACAGATGGGTTCTGACAGAATGATACCAAGACATGTCTGTGATAAACCATTCATGATCAGATTCTCTGACAGAAGTGAATGGAAGAAGGGGTTTCTACCTGATAGAACAGAGGGACTAATTTGGTATACAGATGGTTCCAGGAGAGAAAAAAGGCACTGGAACCGGGGTGTATTGCCATGGAACATGGAGGAAAGTTAGTTTTAGTCTTGGGCAGTACATGACAGTATTCGAGAAAGAATTATACACCATCAAGGCATGTGCAGTTAAGAATCTAGATAGGAACTATAAGAATAGGAACATCTATATAATAGCAAATAGTCAAGCTGCAATCAAAGCACTTGGCAAACATCGGATTACCTCAAAACTCGTTTGGGACTGCCACCAATCCCTCATACAACTGGCCGAACATAACAGATTTCAGCTGATATGGATGCCAGATCACTAGGGTATTGCTGGCAATGAAGCGGCAGATCAGCTGGCATGAACAAGATCTGAACATCCATTCACAGAACCTGAACCAGCTTGCAGCATCTCAGTTGGAGTTGCCAAGAAAGCGGTCGGGGACTGGACTAACAGAAATCACATATAACAATAGAAATCCAAAACTGGACTCAAACAGGTAACGGAACATATATCAGGTCCCTCCACCAGAATAACGAAGGATCTGTTGGAATTAAACAGAGACCAATTAAGGTGGATGATATGACTGTTCACAGGACACTGCTACCTAAAAGGACACCTTTTAAAGCTGGGATTGACAGAGGATCCCACTTGTAAATGGTGCCTGAAAGAAGACGAATCAGCCAAACATATTCTATGCAATTGTGAGGCCATAGCTCATTTAAGATTTCCTCACTTTGGCCAGTTCTTTACGTAACCAAGTGACTACTATGACACCTCCATAAATAAAATACTGCATTTCATTCAAAGTGTAGGATTAATAAGGGGTTAATTAAAAAGGAAGCACAATAGAACATTGTTGGTCATGATGCAAGGGCTGGATTGTGGCCCACCCCTCTTACATATATATAACATAAAATATTTTCAAGGCTGAGCAACGATGTTATTGTGATTGGTAATGACAAAATGCGTCATTTGTGAGTCAACTGCAATCACTGGTGAATATAAACTGAATATATTGCTGTATCCTTTCAAAACATTCTCACAGCCCATTGTAATTTTCAGTGTTCAAGTCATACTAAAATTTACCTGTGGATTTGGAGGGGGGGGGAGAGAAAAAATGCTGAAATACCAGTATCTCATAGGATATATAATGAAACATCAAGTCCCTGGTATCTTCAAGCAATATTTAAACATTTACTTTCTACAAACATTTTTAAACAAAGTATACAAACGGTAAAAATAAATGTACAACTTCAGACTTCCATTAACACAATTAATACAAGGAATACCACAAATTGTGTAAATACTATAAAGGATGCAGGTTCTTGTCTAAGAATTGGACAACACAGATGTATAACTCAGTGTGTTATACAGAAAGATTAACATGGTGGATAGCCATCTTGAGTATTATATTTAAATTCAGTTCTTACATAGACTGCCTTCGTTCTGACACACATACTTTCATACTCAAAACCACTCACTGGTCAGTGGTACAGCATCAGAATTCTCCTTTCATACTGGTGTTTCATGATCACCTTCTTCTATTCGTCCCAGACGCCAGGCATTCGGATCAGCTGCTGTAAAAACAAAAAGTGAATGCTCATCAAATGGCATATATCTCACAGCACACTCACAGACACAAACCAATATAGTAAATCATGAAGCAATGCTTTCTTCCAGTCAGAAAAATATCAATATTTTTTAAAAGAGGAATCTTGAGCTATTAAAATTTTTGATATACCAATAAATATTAAGGTCCAATAAATGTAACAAGCTTAAAAGGTGAATATAATAGTTTGCCTTTACAAGTTTTGGCCAGCACTGGTCATCATCAGGTGTAGTCAGCATTGTAAAGAAATACTGTACATATGTGTTTGGACTTGATTTATAATAAAGGGATTTTTCCTAGCATTAGATCTTGAACACTAAAATTCTACTGCTGGATAAATAAGCTGTATATGTTAAAAGTAATTACTTAAAATCCACTAAAATAAATTCAAGGTTGAGGAATATAACGATGGCATTTGTTGTCTTACAGATTGTTGTGTTGCTGGCCACATGTCCATCTGCAAATGTAATACAGTGAAAGCACGATTCATCGTTTTTGTCGGGGGTTCTGAAAAAAACGATGGATTCGGAAAAACGATAGATGCTTATATAAACGAATAGAAATGGTCACATTTACCTATATGTATTTACTAAATAAAAAAATGTACACCAATGATATTATTTCCACTGTCAAGTCAAAAATGCATTACTTCTTTTTGAAAAAGCCATTGATCCTCATTTGTTTAGTAGCACCTATCCTTTTCAAACAGAATCATAAATTTTCAGTGTTAACGATGTTCGAATTTTGGGCTGATGGTGGCATGCCTAGTCGCTGGGCTACATCAATCCTCTTCTATGAAGCGCAGTCGTTCTTCTAAAGTTGGAACTTGTTTCATAGGAAAAGCTATGTGTGTCAAAAATTGTTTTAAAGATAACGAGGACTCTAACAATAACACAAAGCACTGCAGAGGATCCAACACATTCGAAAAAGAAAACTCAAATGATTCAAACGATTCACAGCAACATACATGTAACCTGGCCACGTCGTAGCTCAAGCGGTTGGTCGCTAGCTTCTCAATGCGGCGGCCCGGATTCGATCCCGGGTCTGGTCAAGTGTGATTTGTGGTGGACAAAGTGTGTCATAGGTAAGACGAGCTCAGGGTCGCATAGCGCACAGCTAAGGCCGAAGGTACACCAAGGAAACTGCAACCGCAACACAACCGTGATTTCTGAGAATTGTTATCAGCTTGAATTGAACACATGTTAGTGAAAGGAGCAGAGCAAATTGAGGAACGGCAACACAACTTGCGGAGGGACCGAGAAACACAATTTCCAGGCAAGGGAGCATGTTTAGTCCTCTCACAATTGCGTTTCTGTGCGGTTTCCTATTATCAGCTAATATGTAACGTGCTTCGGTGATTCATTTCCACTTCCTCAGGATAGTAATCAGTGAGACATTAAGGTGCTGAAATCTAAAAACTCATTTATATGCAGTAAATTCAGTCGTGTCGAGCAATTAAGGGTTGACTTTATGATATTCCAAAATGAATGTTTATGATTTAGATCTTCTGCTAGTAGTGTCTGAAGTATAAAACTGAGGAGTTCAATGATATCTGCAATGATATCACGCGACACTCAGGATTGCTGTATATGTTATCAAAATTTCAATTCTCGAACAGTATGACCAAGCTTATTGGATCCTTTCTCTCTCAACATAAATTCATAGTTTCGGTTGAAGGCGAAATGTCAATGCCAAGGGAAATGGAAGCAGGGGTTACAGAAGGCTCGGTCCTGCCCCTACCCTTTTCAATATGTATATTAATGATGCCCCCCAAACACATGATGTTCACCTGGCCCTCTTTGCGTGCGACATCTGTCTGTATGCGGCAGATCGCAAGAAGGGTTTTATTGTTAGAAAACTCCAGCGTGGTCTCAGGTCAATGGAGACCTGGTATGAGTGCTGGAATATTAAAATTAAGAAGATAAGACTCAGGGGGGCCTCCTCTCGTAGTCGGTGTAATCTTCAATAAATCCCGCCTGGGAGTTTGCAGCAGACACCCATCTAAAGAAATTGCAGCGCCTGCAAAACAAGGTTCTCCGCACCACTGGCAATTTTCCAAGAAGCACACCAGTCCGCGATTTGCACATGGCGTTCAAAATCCCATATGTATATGCCTACATAACAAAATTATGCCGGCAACAAGCCGAAGTCATACAAAATCATGATAATGAGAATATTTGCAACATCGGACAAGACGAAGCCCGTCACAGAAGGTATAAGAGGCTTAAACTTGGCGGTGGTCAGACATACGACCGTTCAAGTGACTAGACTGCCGTGGTAGAAAATATTGCAAGAAATTGGACATAGTCTTCTGTACTGAGCCTGGACTGACAGATACCTTGCATATATTGTAACGTGTTTTGCTACTGAAGACGCCGTTCGGATTATTGGTTTATTTAACAACATACAAATCGTAACTACAATTATTTATAACACAGTTGCGGGTTTACCTAATTTATAAACCCTACACAATAATCTGTTCACTCTGTCTTCAATAGTCTTCACTTATTCACAGTACAATACGGGAGCTATCGCAGTGCCAATGTATTGCACGCTCCCAATACTTTCTCACACTATCACCTCTAATCGCACATTCCGGTATTCTTCACGTTCACGATTCACTCGCTACAACTTAACTCGGCGACTTCACGATCCACACTCTCATCACATACTGCTCAGCCGGCTTTTTATACCGTTCCCTGTTGCCTCATGTTACAGCGGTGGTCCCCTTGTTACGTCACAGTGGGAAATGCTGTTATGTCTCCGTGGGGGATGGGTGTGTGTGTCCTGCATAGCGCAAATATATCACAGTATTATACATATTAGATATTAAACTCGATTGTAAATAAGTATACATTGTGACAATGGACTAATACTATTGACTATGACTGACAAATGACAGACCTGACCTCTTGTCAGAGAGGGGGCCCCACATGGACAGGACAGTAACTTTCATTTAAAAGAAAAATCTGGTCATGAGCCCCAGCTGGGACTCGACACCAAGACAGATTGAGAGACTAACTGACAACTCGTGTCAAATTTACCCAGCTATTTCAACATATAAGACTATGCTAGTTCAGTGTGAGATAACAAGAAACCATGAAATAAAAACTGTGATAGAGCATGCACATGCGTGAAACTAGGACAGAAAAGGAGGTAGAAATTTGTTAGAAACCTAGCTGACAATTTCTCCCATTTCTTCGCATTGGTGCTCATGCACTTGGTTTTTTGTAAGAAAATTGGAATGCTTGAAAATCCAGCTTGCCAAAACCCTGAACCACATTACTTTCCTAATGATATGCATCATCCCAAAAGGCTTCACAGTGAAGACTCTGTTCAATAGTCGACGCACCTCCATAACTGGCTAGGGTGCCAGTCAGGTACTCCCAAGAGACAGACTTCACTTCCATTACCACACCAAGGCCTCACTACTGCAGAAAATCCAGGAAATAGAGAATTTTCACAAATCATCTCTAGTTAATTCTAACCAACATCATATCTTCACCGCTGTCGATAGCTCATTTAGGGAAATCTTGAACAAGTTAAAACAGACTTATATTCATAAAATTTTTGCTCTCAATAATCAACAGAATAGGCCTATGCCAGTATCTACCTCCAACAAATTTATTCTCAGTCTTTCTGAACAGATTCTTACAGACGTGGAGGAAGAATTCCTAAAGAGACGTTTGAATTTTGCCGTAACCTTTCCACACTTCAACCTGGATATGACATGTACTGTGGAATCCGCTGTTTCCACAGACCATGGGCATGGAATTCTGATTGGAAAAAAGGTCCATGTTAGAGAAGTCTAAGTCTTCCAGACCTAACATGACCACGAAGGAGTTGAAAGCCATAAAATCTTTGAGGCTCAAAAAGGATATTAGGATTCTTCAGGCGGACAAGGGAAACTGCACAGTGGTGTTTGACTAATACAAATACAAGGAGAAGTTGAACATTTTGTTTGAGTCTGGGGTTTATGAACCCTTGCCAAGAGATCCTACAGCTAAAATTGAGAGGACAATACAAAAACTCCTTCTCAAGCACAAAACTACTCTCCCCATTGATCTTAAACACAAGTTGGCTCTCCACTACAGCAAACCTCCGCATTTATATGGTCTTCCCAAGATTCACAAACCGGACATTTCCCTGAGGCCTATAGTTCTCCTTGCTATGCCCTGGCTAGCTTTATCCATTAGATACTAAGTCTCTTGCCCGAAAATCGGGACACTTCGTTTAGAATTCGAGCCACTTTTTACAATTGCTGAAGTCTGTTCATCTTCATTCCTCAGATACCCTTGTTAGCTTTTATATCATGAGTCTCTTCACCAATGTTCCAGTCGATGAAGTCCTACAGATCGTCAGAAACAGCTCCACAACGATGACACACTGCCGGAATGGTCTGGCCTGCAGGTAGAAGACATCATGGAGCTGCTGGAGGTCTGCATGAGAACCATATATTTTCAGGCGAGTGACAGTTTATTCGAACAGAAAGGGGGCATGGCTATGGGAAGCTCCTTATCACCAACTGTGAACAAGATCTTGATGGAGAATTTTGCGAAAGTGGCCTCGTGGTCAAGAGCATTTATAGGAATTCCTCAGCCACCTCAACAGTTTAAGGCCGTTCATCCAGTTCACCTTGGAAAACATATTCCGACAGTGAAATTTCCTTTCTTGGTGTGCTGGTCAGCAGGGAAGAGACGACATTAGCCACCATAGCCTACAGGCAACACACCCACATTGGCCGGTACCTCAACTTCAACTCTAACTAACCGCGGCATGTGAAAAGAGGTTTTATTCAGAGTCTGCACAACAGAGCTTCCACCACATGCCAAGAATGACAAAACCTGGTTAAAGAAACAGCAGCCTGAGAAGTGATCTCCAGCTCAACGGTTATCCACAAAGTTTCATTGACTCCAAGGGTAGCAGTTGTCCGAATAGAGAGCAAAAGACCCTAGGCTCTGTGTACAT